AAATTCAGTGACCGTTTCTGATACTTTGATACTTTATTGACCGTTTTGAAATTTTCAGATAACTTCAATGACCATTTGTGAAATTAACCCAAATTTATTATGATATGATACATAGAAATGGAAAATAAATACTAATTTTTATGATATTTGTTTAATCAAATTATAATAATAACTGTGAAAAAAAATGGTCAGTAGAAATGTCAAATGACGTTTTTCTTTATGAAAAACCCATTGAAAGTATACAAGGAAATGATGCATATAAAGTCCAATTCATGTGCAAGCCCTTTATAAGTCCGCCAGAAAGCCCAAAAAACGAAGAAAAAAAAAAAAGGTATTTCAAAAGTAAAAAGAATGGCCCATGCAGGTCTCGAACCTGCGACCTTCGCGTTATTAGCACGACGCTCTAACCAACTGAGCTAATGGGCCAAGTGACACTTGAGGGCTATATTTAAATTATTATATTTTAAGTAAATTCTATTCCACAAACTTTCTATTTCAGGATAAATTCTAATGACCGTTTGAGAATAATCAGAGCACAAAATATTTCCAACATTTACTTCTGTTTAAAACGTGTCGTTTTAAAATATTTGCATATTAAATACCCAATTGGACTGGAAAAGTCAAGAAAACTCAAACCAAAACACTCAATTGAAGACTCAAGTGCTTAATTTGTCAATGTTACATCCATTGTATGTCAAAAAATTGTGGATTTCTCTGCTTGTACAGAAGCAGATTTGTAAAAATTTCACCAAATGCTGATATGGTAGCATCTGTTTGGTCTTTTTTTTTTTTGCCATTATCTAATAAAAACTGCTATGTATATTCTGACAAAATTTTGGTAGCATATTTTTTACACGTAGCAGGGATGAAAATTTATTGAAAAATGCTATCCATCCCCAGTGTGGATGCATCCTCAGTCTATGTGGATGTAAATGATTGGTTAAATGATATGTGAAATTAAATGACTTATTTAATTTCACCTATCATTTAATGTCATATTAACGCCACATAGATTATGGATGAATAGCATTTCTCAAATTTATTAGAGGCACCAACATCTCATACAATTCAAATGAATTAATGAAATCAATCATACTACTTGTACATGTCGTCATGCCCCCACCTATAGGGGGCGCCTAGTGTAAGTACAGGGCCCATGTACCCTGTACAACAATTATTATCCTAATGAAATAATTAGTACTAGAGAACATGATTTTTGGGAATGACCATTGTTTCGTTAGAAAGTTATTTTGTAAAATCACATGATTGAACATATGGGTTATCGTGAATTATCGATTTGAAAGAAAGAATAGAATATAGCTAGTTTAAATGTGTTCCATATCACTAAATTTAGATAGGCTCATAATTACGTAGACATATACATTTACAGACATCAATTTGAAAAGCATGTTACACCCAACACAACTGTAAAAACATACACATTTTATGATTCATCGTCACCAACATGGTATTACAATCATATTCATCTGTAGTCGTAAAATGTCGTACTTTAATATACTTTGTACGAGTCACAATAGAGAATATAATGGATTAAAAATAAAAAATAATATACTTTTCCAATATTTATAACTATTTCTTTGACTTGGAGTATGCAATATTTTCCCCAAAAATAAAAGTGAGAATCATTGTAGTCCCATTGGAATTATAAACTCAAGTTGGTTCCAATACCATGGGTGCACCGTTGAAAAAGAAGGTTCCAAAACTATGGGCTCCTCCATGCAATTGATACTGCAGACTTTATCCCTCAATCCAATTGAGGATAACGGATCCTCCAACTCACATGTTTACATAGAGAAATGGGCTAAATTTTAGGGAAATTCGAGCCATAAGGCCATATCTATTTATTTAAGAAAAATTATAAAAAATCCAAGGTTTAAATATTGTTTTTTAAAATTCAGGTCTAATGTTTATTTGTTCAAAAATAAGGTAACATATAAAAGCCCTAATTCACAACCCTAATTCACTAATTCTCCACTCTATTTCTCTTGTCTCTCGCCTCTCTCGCGGTGCTCTCTCTCTCTCTATCACTCCCTGCAGCGGCGCTATCGTGGTCGGCCGGACGAAGATGTTGCATTGGCCTGCGACGCTTCAGCATCGAGGCTGTTGAGACGGCGCTCATCAGCCATCAGTCGGACGACAATCACCCATTAGTTGTGACGTCAATTGCCGACAATCGTTCTATTACTCATCAGTCTCCCTCTATCACTCATCAATCGCGATGGCAATCGCTCCGGCTTATTGGTTTTTTTTTTTTTTTTT